AAAGTGTGCCAGGGAGTGACTGTTTTCGTTCAAGCTAAATGCAAAGCAATATCGTCCAATTGGAGAGTCCTCAAAAGGATTTCCCAGGATATGTTAAAGACTTTGCATTTACCTACAGTCACTTTTTCACATAATGGAATTAACTAAAATATTTATGTATATCTAAACACTTATTGCACGTCCGCTACTTTCATATAACGGCAGATTTAGAAACCGCGAAAAATTTTCAAGACTGAATAAATGGACTTAAAATTTATCACCCCAATTGTATTATGTTTATGTATGTAAATACTTGTATGCTTGAAACTACTATTAACTTATCAAACGATTCCTAATCTTTGACTTCATTAAAACACTAAAACGTTTGAAATAAATCTCGTCTCACTTTTTTGAATTTTTCATTTGGTTGCTGAAATAATTAAGAATTAAAAATTCATAAGGGAAAATTATAGTTTTTGTAAGTTTTATCTTAATATCTGAAAAATTTGTAGACTTATTGAAAAATGATAAATGAACGTGAGATACTAAATTTAATAACCATTAGTTTGATATATCGTCCTGTTTAGAACAATTACGGCTTCCATAGATATTACAAGCCCAAGTTTAATTTTATAAATTAATACACTTTGATTCAATTGCGCGGGCTAAAGATAAGTTTTAAATTAATCTTTCGTGGCCAATAAAAATTGGCTTAGACCTAAGACATCATAATATTACTATTACTATACGGTCAAATGCCTTTTATTTTCCCCCATACAAAATCGACCCAGCCTAATACACATTGAGCAAGAAATTTCAAAATTGCGATCTGTAGATTCTCTCAAGCATTTGCCTTTTGCAAGCATTTGCATTTGAAGCTGCTAATTTTTTGCTACCACATATACTGAGATAATAATATAATAGTAATATTTAGAAACATGTTATGAAATAACGCATAGTAAAAATTAATATTTTTTATTAAATTATCGTTTTAAAATGTTCGTATTTCAAAATAATACTTACATACCACGCACGCGGTCAGATTCAAACTCAACATTTGAAAGCACATTTACATGTCTGGCTGTAGCTGGGTGCAACGATGCTTGCCAAAATTTGTTAATTTCCAGAGAGTCAGGGTTCACATCCCATTGCAAGCAGCATGGAAATAATTTTTTTTTACTTAATTATTAAAAAGCATCCGTGAACTCTTCATTTAATATGAACTCTTCATTTTAATATGAGCTTATTTGAATTGAATACACTTAATACTAAAATTTATATACTAAAATTTATTACGGGAGGTGGTGGTATTCTTTCATATGCGTATTTTTTTTGAAATTTAGAACGTTTTTTTGATTAAAATTTTTTTTTCTCTTAGTGTACTTCCATTTTCACTATGCATCAGTGATAAATTATCACCATTCAAATTCACGGTGGAGAGAATACAGAGGTGGCGCCGATGACGATACCGCTACTCGGCTCTCAGTGATTTTGACAGAATCAGCTGTTTTGGTGACGTCATAGTAGAGAAGACAGCAGTAGTGATGTGCTGAGTCAATACTTTTAAGTACCCAATACTCTCGATACTCGGTACCGAAACATTTAGGTTTCGAATAAAAGCGCACATAGGCCAAAAATATGGAAAAAACGCCTAACCAAACCCGAATGTAAGAGCCAATAGAGCTTTTTTACTGATTCAAATGAAAGATGTATATATGTCGGTTCGATGCCATAATACAGAGAAACCCTTACTTGTTTGAAGCATTTTTGTTCCAGCTGAATCGGACGATATCATTTTTGTAGGCCTGGGACAGATTCTGTAACCAGTTAACGACAATTTTCGAATCGGTATCGGTTTTGTCGACGTTTGATATCAAATATTTGTAAGTCAAGAAGTGAGATATCGATCTGAAACTTGTCGCTAACTGGCTACAGAATCTCTCCCCTGAAAGGCTTCTTCATCCGTCAAAGTATTTTTCTTGAACCTTGGATCGACTAAGGTTAAAACTGATAAAATAATATTTTTCTGTGGCGATAAGTTCAAGTGTTTTAGCCGATATCATATAAATTAGTAATGAAAGTTTTTTCTAAACCTGAAATGCATATAATGGCGAGGGTTTAATGTAAATAATCGGTATCGGATACCGAAAAGGAAGTATAGGGTACCGAAATCTTTTTAAAGTATTGGGTACCGAGTATTGGGGACAATTCAGCACATCACTAGTCGCCCTCATTCTCGCCGCTCTCAGTTGTCAACTCTACGATGACGTCACGCTAAAATTACTCTCACGAATTCTGCTGCAATCGGCGCAATCTTGTATTCTATCATTCTTGATTAAAACTGACTATTTACCACCATTAAAATGCAGGCAAATGTTGACAGCCACTTGCGGCCGAATAAAATACTTAAATTTAGGCCAAGCAATTTTTAGCGAAAGGCAGAACCGAAAAATGTAAGCTTTCGCATTTTAGCATTTTAGCGGTAGCGAAAGTTAGAATCCGGCTACAGGTCGAAACAGTTGGCGTCTTGATTTCGAAATGAACTGTATCAGCGATGTTTTCCGATCTAAATATTTTAGCATCCTTTCCAAATTGTTTTCCAAAATTTTCGTCTTTCTTTAATAAATAATAGCAATAAAGGCGCGTTTTTTCTTCTAAGAGCTTCATGAAACTTTCGCCAATATCAACAGCACCAAATTTTTTTCAACATGCACAGTGATTCTCAAGCATGCATAGGTTCGATTAAAATCGATCCAAAAAAATTTGTTCATCAGTCTTTAGATAAATATTTTTAGATCTAAAAACTGCTTTTCTTGAAATCCTACCTGCTCGTTTTTTTTTTGAAAAAAATTCAAAAATACGGTCATGCACTTTTCTATTAACAGCTCGACTATTTTTCATCTGATACCATTGCATATATGAATTTTTAGTAAATATTGACAAATTCCTTGGCCGCACTGGTCATGAAATCTGAAAGTCCGGTACATACACATATAAATTCAAGGCCGTGTTATTGCCGAAATTGCATAACTTTTTGACAATTTTTATGCAATTGCATTAGGTGAGGTACCAATTAATTCAGTTTTAAGATCTAAAAATATTAGGGCCAATTTCAAATTAATATTTAAACGGCACTTAAGTTTAATTTTGGATTGTTATTTAAATGCCATTTAACTTTCATTGGGTTTCAGATGAACTTTATTTAAATATGTCAAAGAAGTCGCAACACTGTTGTTTGCTTTTCGAAATTGTTGTTGCATTTGGTTGTTTTTTTACATTTTGTTCTTTGGCAATATTGGCCATTTAAGTGCAGGTTAAATGTGTGTTTTTTGGGCTACTATGCTATTGCAAAAGACGAGTTGTTTGAAGTTTGGCTGATTGGGTGTTCGAAAAAAGAAAAACTTTTTTCGGTTGTCAACCATGCACAAATTTGTTTATCAGTTTTTAATTAAGTAAAAGGCGTTTTTTGGCAAATTATATGAATCGATTTGGGCGATAGATTTATTTTTTGAATATTTCTTCCTGCATCGATTAATTTATTTCGATCTGGCATATCTGTACGCCGTAAAACACTGCTAACAGATGCTCTGTATAAAAAAACTGTAAAAATAAAATGCCCATAATATGTAAATATGGAAAACGTCAAGAGAACGCAGGGTATCAAAAACGGGGTACGAAAAAAACCCAAAATTACGGTTATGTTCGTACTTCATGCACTTTTCTATTAACAGCTCGACTATTTTTCATCCGATACCATTGCATATATAAATTTTTAGTAAATATTGACGAATTCCTTGGCCACACTGGTCATGAAATCTGAAAGTCCGGTACATACACATATAAATTCAAGGCCGTGTTATTGCCGAAATTGCATAACTTTTTGACAATTTTTATGCAATTGCATTAGGTGAGGTACCAATTAATTCAGTTTTAAGATCTAAAAATATTTATCGAAAAACTGATAAACAAATTTTTTGGATCCATTTTAATTGAACCTATGCATACTTGAGGACACTGTGCATGGTTGACAACCGAAGAAAGTTTTTCTTTTTTCGAACACCCAATCAGCGAAACTTCAAACAACTCGCCTTCTGCAATAGCATAAGAGCCCAAAAACACACACATTTAATCTGCACTTAAATGGCCAATATTGCCAAAGAACAAAATGTAAACAAACAACCAAATGCAACAACAATTTCAAGGAGCAAGCAACAGTGTTGCGACTTCTTTGACATATTTAAATAAAGTTCATCTGAAACCCAATGAAAGTTAAATAGCATTTAAATAACATTCTAAAATCAATTTTAAGTGAAGTTTAAATATTCATTTGAAATTGTCCCTAAGAAAATTAAGTAAAAGGCGTTTTTCGGCAAATTATATGAACGCAGGGTATCAAAAACGGAGTACGCAGAAGCTGTACGCAGGAGCATGCACCACAGTGACCCAAAAGCAGAAGTTTAGGATGAGTCTGCCTAAACTATATAAGAATTTAGTTATAGTAGCAATATCTTTGTAAACAAATAAATAAAATATATAAGAACTCTAATTATTGTGTAGAATTTATAACAACCACACTGTGAAGTTTAAATGGCGGCAAATCAGCTGTGCTGTATTAGAGTAGATAAGCATCGAGAGTTAACGGGGTGTGCTTAGCTCAGCGGTTAGCCCTGCTGACTTTGCACCGGTGATGCCGGTTCGAACCCTGCTGAAGTCTGGAAAAAAAGTCTGATGAGGAGAGGTGATGACCGAAATAGAATCTATAACTACTATCGCTTAGACTTTGTTGCTTTTGCCATTTTTCCTTAAAGAAAATCGTGGTATAAGTTCAATAACGCTGCTGAAATAAATATTTTTACGGCACAGTGTTATTTAAGGTCATCGAAAATGGTGAGAACTGTTAAGTGAAAAAATAATTACGTTGAAAAATACAAAAAAAAAAAACATTTATAAAATTTTTGAAATTTTGAAATAAATCACGAACATCAGTTGTCCCAATAATCACATTTATTTTCCTTCAACAGAATTCATGGGTACGGAACGTCCATATTTCGATGATGTTAACCCTAGAAATATATCGACAGTAGCTGATGAACCGGCGATATTAAGATGTCGCGTCAAGAATAAAGGCAACCGTACGGTAAGTAAATTTAGCGATTTAATGCCACAAACTTGCATAAATTATGAAAAGATTAGCTGCTACAAATGTGTGTGTTAAAAGTAAACCGAATTCATTCGTTTCGATCAATTGTTTTTTTAGTCTTTTAGCGCATAAATAATTTCTGATAGTGTTTTTTTTTGTGAGATGCGTATTTATACAGCGAGCCACATTTGCAGACTTCAGTGGATCTTTTCTTTCCACTGCTGCTACATGTGGCACACAGGTTGGTTATCGGATCCCGCACTATTAAATCCAATTGCCACCAGGGAATGTCACTTGATCAAAATTTTCATTTTGCCAAATTAATGTACAAAACGCGGAAAAGTAAATTTTAAAGTTATTGCTGTTATAAATGATGTAAAAGAAATATAACAACACGTAATATTGATTATATCTCACAATAAAGGTTCTAAATATTTGTATTAAGATGACATAATCACGGTTGCCAACTGTCCGGTTTCTTCCCGAGATGTTTGTCTATGTCCGATTTTTATGTTTAACCGGACTTCAAATTGATAATTTTTCTTAAGAGCATACGTATTTATAGACCGTCAAGTATCTTTAACAAAAGCAAACTTTAACGACTAAAATCAAATGAAGGCTTGAAAAGCGTATAATATATGACACATTTTGCACTAAAGGGTCAAACTGTGTACTTTCTTTAAAATCCCGACCAGTAGAACTCTTTTTGCTACATACATTTTTTTGTGAAAGCTGATAATTTATTTGCTTTTAGAGTTTAAAGGAAGCTTCTCGTTTTTTCCAAAGTGACGGCTCGGGTACATCATCCTATGCCCTAAAGCCGGGTTTTAAGATAGAAGAAAGAGTAATCTTTCAGAAACAATGCTTATGGTGTATTTAATATACAGCCGTGCTCCCAATTTAACATTCACAAATTTCATGTGGATTCGGTTTAGTTCCTTAATGGAATGAGAGCAAAAATTAAAATTTTCAAACAATGTGAAATTTTGCATGGATTTTTGAAGATTAAGATATTGTTGTTGTAATTTCTCTATAATTTGCATATATTTCAATCGGCTTTCTATCTATGGCCTAAGTATGCCACTAAGGTGGCAGTCACTTCTACCTACCTTCCTATGTGATAATTTATCTTCACGCAAACAAAGTTTCATTCAATAATCTCTTTTCTAACCAGAGATCTATGATTTTGAAAAAAACGCGTGTTTTGCCTACAAACAGCGCGCCGCTCGGATCGGGTTTGTGAAGGTACACTTAGGCATTTGTGTGGTCAAATGATTTTTTTGCTTAGCATTGATTGTCTATAATTTAATTGCATATTGCTCTGAAATATGATCGATCTCGGTGAATACTTAGTTTATTTTTAATTATTCGACACCAGTCGGTTAAGAGACTGTAACTTGCCTAAATTGTAGTTGAAAAATTAGCTAAATTTGAAATTCTGTACCTATAGTTTGTAAGATTATGCAACCGATGTATTGATAAATAAACAAAATCAATTGAAATTGTCTTAGGTTTCATGGATGCGCAAACGAGATCTTCACATACTAACAACTAACATCTACACCTATACTGGCGATCAGCGATTCTCTGTTGTACATCCGCCCGGCAGCGATGATTGGGACTTGAAGATCGAATATGCGCAGCAGAGAGATAGCGGAATTTACGAATGCCAAGTAAATACCGAGCCGAAAATTAATTTAGCCGTATCACTGGTTGTCAATGGTGAGCAGTTTTTTGATTTATATTATAAAATATGTTATTATATCATGCCGACAAACACTTTCCAACACTTTTATATTTGCCATTCTTTATAGTTTAAGAAAATAAGCTGTAAACAAAACATAAATTTGGTTAGGACATTGCTTAGTTATTACAATTTTCATGAAAATTCTGCTGCAACCACCGTTGTTGAAGATATTTTATATTTACGATTTTCAATCGTCTTAAGTCGTTTACTTAGAATGTAAAAAATTTTTCTATCCATAAAATCGCAAATTCCGACGCATTTCCTAAGTCTGGCAGCATCACCAGCAAGAGCATATTAGAAAAAAAGCGTGAAGGTTGCAGCAAAGGTAGTTGAATGTTAAATAAAACCTTTTCAAGTCTACTTCTTACCGTTTTTATCCAAGCCGGGTTCAAAAAGTATATTTCTTACAAAATCTTAATAATATCGTACATGCTTCTGGTCATCGCATTCAGTATGCCCGAGGACACGCCATCAAAACATACAATAGCCGGGACGAATATCGCTGCCAATCATGCAGCTTGTAGGCTCGTGCTCATAAACTCACTAATGCATCGTAATTTGCAAGCTAAGGCAAATAACGGTGGTAATTCTGCTCTCTCTAAATTAAAGTCGTGTTGCTGCACCAAGGGAACGTGCATCGAACGTATGCCATTCGCCTGTTGAAAATGGTTTTTTGCCTGTATTATGTAATCGTCAGCCACTAATTAATACCTCAGCCACTGTCATGCAGACATTACGAGACAGAATAAAATGACTGGAACCACAAATGCAAGCGTTGCTAACAGCGAATCGAGTATGGTTTCCTCACCAAACATCAGGTATGCTAAGCCTCAAATCCCCACTAGCGCTCATAACCAACACTGCATACGGCGTAGCTCCTCATGGCCGTCTGACAAGTGACCAACTGGCATCTCGTAAATGCCTCCGCAGAAAACTACCGAAATACAATGGCAAGTCAAGATATGTGAATTTTCTAACGAGGAAAACCTGATAAGCATCCGGCAAGCATTAGAGGGTCCAGTTCGCAACGCGGTTAAGAAACTGCAAATTATCTTATTTTCTGCAAATTATTTCAATTTTGCAAATGAGATTCGGGCGTTCCGAACTAATAATTATCATGCTGCAGCAACAAATTTGCGAACTTTGAATACCATCGGAAAGTCAACGTAGATTTTGCTATCGCTGTACAAACTATATGTGCAAGTTGTAAAGCATCTGGGCTTACCGGCCCTCTCAGCAACCCTGAATTGGAGCAAAAGCATGCATTAAAGCTGCTTGGATTACTACCGATATACTGGGGAATGCATAAGTAAGACCTGCAATCTTCAGACTTTTAGTGGTTGCTTCCCTGTGGGGAAAATCTCTAGTACCTTTAGAACCACTACTAGTTCGCGATAAATCTCTTTTGCATGCAAACAACTGGCGAATTTAACAGAGGGATGTCATAGGAATTGGAAATTGTCCCCCGCTGCGTTACCTTTTCTATAGTTCAGAACCAGTCCTAAATGGGAACATATGGGATCTAGTTCGCTTTGCACCCCATTTTCTATAGTTCAGAACCAGTTGTAAACGAAAAAAGTAAGAAGATGTTTTCTTTTTGGGTTACCATGGTAGCAATTNTCTTCATATTTGTCTTTATTTTTGCATATTCCTCTTCACCTTTACCTTAAAGTGTTTAAATTTACTTTGATCTTCGTTTTTGCCTGTACCTCTAGGTATCTTTGTTTTTGTTTTTATTCTCAAACCGCTAAACCGCTGAGAACTCTTTCCATTTGCATTATTCCCCTTGAATTTGTAATTTACTCCCAACCAACCAACTCTTTAAATATATTGTATAAATGAGGTCATACGAGTTTTGGGAGAGGGTTACAACACAAAAATACATTTATGGCGCAGCGAAGCACGCCGGGTAATTGCTAGTTATTTACAAAGAAATGTGTTTTCAATCTGAAATCAAATTTGTTTGAATGAATGTAAATTAAATTGTGCATTTGAAAACACGTTTACATACCTTTGGCTATAGCTGAATTTGCAGAGGTTCTGACTGTTATTGGTTTTATTCCAGAAGGTCCCAAAATGTTAAGATGTTAACACAAATTTTAGTTTTGTATTACCAAATTATGAAAAAGCATCTGCGACGTGCAGACTGAAAGCGTATTTGAACGAAAAACCCGCCAAGCAAAAATCTATTTAAAGTAAACAAGCCCTCCGCAGCATCCCTTTTTCAATAGTTTCGAACTAGTTCAAAATTCGCCAGATGAGATCTAGTTCGTTCTGCATCCCTTTTTCTATAGTTTTGAACCAGTTCTAAATTCGTCATTTTAGATATAGATTTCTAAATTTGTTTTTTAATAGTACCACATATCGCTGCTTCTGAACTGGTGGCGATCTAGTTACTATCGGACTGGTAGTGCCTGTTTTCGCTGCGAGTAATATTAATAAGCCAAGCAAGGTTCGCCTGGTGTGGGACGCAGCTGCTGCGGTAAATGGTGTTTCGCTTAACACTATGTTATTCGCCGGCCCGGACCTGAAAACTCCTCTACTATCAGTTTTATTCAACTTGCAAAAAAAGCGAGTCGTTTTTTATGGCACGAGCCAAACACTATACAGTGTCCTAGACAACCCGTCCACGCCCTCTGAAACGGATGGAAATGTTTTTTATTGAAAACCGCAAAAATTTGGCCTACAAAATTGGGAATTTTTTCTCGGAAGTGCCTTTTCAACCTCTAAATGACCTTCGAACTTCAATCCGTCCTGGACTTCTTAAATGAGTGAAAATGTTTTTATTAGAAAACGAAAAACATGAATTACCAAAGCGAGGGTGCTCTATCCTTTGGTTGTATTACCGATTACCGGTTTCCACCGGAAGTGCGTTAAACTGACCGGAGGTCAATTTTTTCAAATTAGATATACATATATTTACCACAGATTTGAATTCTAAGGATAAAAATACGTAACTTTAGTTTGAATTTTTTTTCTCCGAAGTGCTTCGAACTTAAACTCGTGTATTTTAATGCGCAGAATCCGAATCTGTGGACAATGTTGCGGAAGCAACAAAATGGCATGGAGATACATATTTTTGTAATGAGGAACTTCATCCGCTGTATGTGAGCCTCCACCGTAAATTCGCGCACACAAAGAAAACTTTTATTCCAAAAACCATAAGATGTGCTCGAAGCTGGCTAAGTGCGGTGCGAGGCGGCGATATTGTGCGTGGCGAAGATCTTTTTAATGTAGAAAAGCGACTCTGGAAAAAGGTTCAACACCACACTTTGGCTAATCAATTAGCTTCATTATTGAAGGGGCAACGCATCGAAATGCCTCCTTACCTTACCGGCGATAACGTATAGATGGGGAGCAAAAATGAATGCGATACAAGACTCTGTGTTGCTTCCACGCGATAATTATATTACAAGTTTAAATGCTAACGAATTTCACATAAAATACCATCTGCTTTAAGGCTATCAGCAATGAAATTCGTTCTCCGCGTTAGCCCCAAATTGCAAGAACGGTTCGTCTACCAACGAGCTTTATTTTCCATCACAGCCACCCGTTTTCTAACGAAGAAGTGGACTATTTTGACGCGTTTTTAGTGAGAGTGAAGGAAAGCAACGAGAAAAAGCACGGGGTCCTATTTACACGCCTAACTACCAGAGCCGTGCATATCAACATTACCTATTCGCTATCTAAAGACTCGTGCATTCTCACCATACGAATCGTTGAAAAACCGGACACTTTCGTTTGGCAAGGGGATGAAACGGGGGAGGGGGATGAAACGGGTGAGGGGGAAGAGGGGGTGGAGGGTAGTGTATGTGTTTGTTTGAACAGATCACAGTCCGGACGAACAGACTTAAATTCGGACTGTCCGGTTGAAAACCTGGTAACCCTGCTTACATCCCGCTAGATCATGAGACCGATAAAGCACTAACTCCCAACCACTTCTTGTTGGGTAACTCAAGTGGCGTTAAACCAATTGCTGAATCAGTAACTGAAGGTGTTTTGTTGCGACGTGATTAGCGAACATCTCACCAACTTGTGAACGCCTTCTGGCGGCGTTGGGTCGCGGAGTATCTTCAAGCGAATTAATCGTAGCGCTTTGGACAGAAGCAATATTTTGATATAAAACAAAATGGTTTTGAAAGCTAATGTTATTCCCTTTCACGGAAAAATATTGGTATTGACCCACAATTACTGTTGACCTCAAAAAAATGGGTCAAAAATAGTGTTCTTAAAAAAAAAATAAAATCCACCGGATTTGTTCCAATTTTTTTTTTTTTATATTTTATTACACTAAATATGTGAACGGGTTTTCTGAATCGTATCTTGTAGACAACTTCCTAAGTGTTAATCTATCCCAGATAAATAGTCTCACTAATAAGTTATCCAGAACTCTTGATCTAGTTTTTATTAATGAAAATATGAACTTTAATTTAGGTCAATGCCTTGACCCACTTTCGTGTCCCGGTTTGCATCATGTGCCGATTTCTCTTGATCTTGAGTTTTATAACTTTGAAAGTATCTGTTTGAATAATCAAAAGCCTAGTTTTTGTTTTAGGCGTTGCAATTTTGATATTGTCAATCTAGAAATCTACTCCACAGACTGGGAATCACTATTTTCCGGATTCGATGTTACTGATTGTTTTACTATTTTTAAAAATAGAGTCAATGAAATCTGTTTGAACAATATTCCGCTAAAAAAAACAAAACTGCTATAAAATCCCGTGGTATACTAAGAAACTAAAGAAGCTAAAGAATTTGAGAAATAAGTTTTACAAAAAATTTAAATCTACT